GGGCGCCGAGAGACAGACGGACGGACAGACAGACGATCGATTGATCTACACCTGGCCGCAGATCTGCACTCTAATTGGAAACGAAGTCGCCACTGCATCCAATTTACAATCAGGGCCTCGAGTTGGAGTCACCGTAATTGCCACTTCCTCGAGGCAGCTGTGGGACCGCGCGCTCGGCTCGTCCTGTTGCTGGGTTGTCCCAGACTCGGTGCACCGCGAGGCCACGTTACGTGCCCTGCCGTGCACCTAGCCTGGTACAAGCACTGCGCGGCGGTGACATCACCGCCACTCAGCGGCGAGTGCTCGCAATTTCACATCCACGGAGACGCGCGCGAGACGAACCGGAGGCTTGCGAAGTTCTCTATCCAGCAGTGGATAGATGATGACTGATGATGATTGCTCAATTGCAGTGCTTTGTGAAACCACTGCTGGACGAGGCCGGACGAAGGCCTCCCTCCACACGCCGGTGTGGGCCGACGGACCAACGATTCACCACGCCGGGCAAGTGTGAGCGATGGAGAGCCGTGGGCGGTATTCGAGCTCAGATGTGCGGGTTCATTTCGTTAGGCGGTGCGCTAACCACTGCGCCACCGCTCATTTAACCCCCCCCCCCCCCCCTCTCAGCTCAACAAATCGTAACCTTCAGGGCCGCCCCGAGGTTTCCGGAAGGCTCGGGGCTGGATGCCACGTGGGGCCCTCTCAGTCGTTAACGACAACAACAACAACAATCACGATCATCATCAACAACAACAACCACAGAGCCGGCCCTCTTCTGTGTGAGGCCCGGACCGGACCCCCCACCCCACCCACCACGTGTGTGTCCCCCCACCCCACCCACCACGTGTGTGTCCCCCCACCCCACCCACCACGTGTGTGTCCCCCTCCACCCACCAGGTGTGTGTCCCCCCCACCCACCACGTGTGTGTCCCCCCACCCACCACGTGTGTCCCCCCACCCCACCCACCACGTGTGTGTCCCCCTACCCACCACGTGTGTGTCCCCCTCCACCCACCACGTGTGTGTCCCCCCATCCACCACGTGTGTGTCTCCCCCCACTCTACCCACCACGTGTGTGTCCCCCCACCCACCACGTGTGTGTCCCCCCCACCCACCACGTGTGTGTCTCCCCCCACCCACCCACCACGTGTGTGTCCCCCCACCCCACCCACCACGTGTGTGTCCCCCCCCACCCACCACGTGTGTGTCCCCCCACCCACCACGTGTGTGTCACCCCCCACCCACCCACCACGTGTGTGTCCCCCCACCCTACCCACCACGTGTGTGTCCCCCCACCCACCCACCACGTGTGTGTCCCCCTCTACCCACCACGTGCGTGTCCCCCTCCACCCACCACGTGTGTGTCCCCCACCCCACCCACCACGTGTGTGTCCCCCACCCACCCACCATGTGTGTCCCCCACCCCACCCACCACGTGTGTGTCCCCCACCCACCCACCACGTGTGTGTACCCCCACCCACCACGTGTGTGTCCCCCCCACCCCACCCACCACGTGTGTGTCCCCCCACCCTACCCACCACGTGTGTGTCCCCCCACCCACCACGTGTGTGTCCCCCCACCCCACCCACCACGTGTGTGTCCCCCCACCCACCACGTGTGTGTCCCCCCACCCACCACGTGTGTATACCCCCACCTCTGGATTGCTCAGTTCACCTCGAACCCGACCTCAAATGACCCTCAATAGTGTTGCGTTCTCCTTCCTCCCATCCATTCGTTCGTTCGGAACGCAGTTGGAGTGTTTGACTCTTTGGCTCGGCTGCCCGGAGCAAACAGAGCGATAGGCGGGTCAACATTCGAGATAAGGAGAGGCACATTTACAGCCAAGTGACATCACTCAAAACTTGACGTCCACATTATTTGACGGGATAATATTGGCTTAAGCTGCCACATCTGCAGCAGAGCGCCATAACGCATGATGATGATCATCATCATCGTAATCATCAGCCATGGTCAATCCACTGCTGGATGAAGGCGGCCGCCCCAACCTCCCCGTGTCCGAAAGCCATGGGGAGGCAGTCGTCTAGCAGTGGATTGATGATAAATGGCTGTACATTTGGCCATTGGTTTTTTTCGTATGCAAAACATACAAAGCTTCGTGTGTATATTTGGAGATTGCATCTCTCGCTCTCCGTGGTCGCGTGAACTTTTCTCCGATTTTTTTGTTACCCTCCACGTTCAACATCAACATCACCACGCGTTTACAGTATTTGTCTGCCGCTGTAAATTTCCACGTGATGAGTCAACTTCGTTGAGCTATCATTTATAGAGCTGATTCGCTCAGTGGGGCGGGGGGGGGCCTTACACCTCGTAAAAAAAAACAATCTAAATGCTGTCGTTCAGTGGTTCTTAACCTTTGCTGCAGCTTGCACCCCTCTGGTTCTCAGAAAGGGCATCTTCAGGATGAAGAACCACTCTCTGCTGGAGAGTGTAGAACCAGGAGGTGGTGGGGGGGGGGTAGAAACTCCACGCACACAAAGACGCCCCAGCCGGGGACAGAACCCAGGTCCCCCCCCCCCCCTTGCCACGAGCCACGAGCGTCGTCGACAGCAGTCGAGCGGCGACTGATTGCGCGCGATCGGTTGCGTGGTGACGTCGGCAACGTGGCCGGCGTCGTGACGTCACCGCGCAATCGCGGCCCAGCGGTCACGTGACGCGCGTGCCGCCCTTTCCGCGTTTTGTGTACGGGGAGAGAGACAGAGACACGGGGAGACAGAAACACGGGGAGACAGAGACACGGGGAGAGAGAGACAGGGGGAGACAGAGATACGGGGAGAGAGACAAACAGAGACACGAGGAGAGAGACAAACAGAGACACGGGGAGAGAGAGACAGGGGGAGACAGAGACACGGGGAGAGAGACAAACAGAGACACGGGGAGAGAGACAAACAGAGACACGGGGAGAGAGACAAACAGAGACACGGGGAGAGAGACAAACAGAGACACGGGGAGAGAGAGACAGAGACACGGTAAGAGAGAGACAGAGACACGGTGAGAGAGAGACAGACACGTGGAGAGAGATAGAGAGACACGGGGAGAGAGACACGTGGAGAGAGAGACACGGTAAGAGAGAGACAGACACGGGGAGAGAGACACGGGGAGAGAGACAGAGACACGTGGAGAGAGAGACAGAGACACGGGGGGAGAGATACGAGGAGAGAGACAGAGACACGGGGAGAGAGACACGGTAAGAGAGAGACACGGGGAGAGAGAGACAGAGACACGGGGAGAGAGAGACAGAGACACGGTAAGAGAGAGACAGAGACGGGGAGAGAGAGACAGAGACACGTGGAGAGAGAGACACAGGGAGTGAGACACGGGGAGAGAGAGAGACACGTAGATAGAGACACGGGGAGAGAGAGACAGAGACACGGTAAGAGAGACAGACACGTGGAGAGAGAGACAGAGACACGTGGAGAGAGACAGAGACACGTGGAGAGAGACACGGGAAGTGACACACGGGGAGAGAGAGACAGAGACACGTGGAGAGAGACGCGGGGAGTGAGACACGGGGAGAGAGAGACAGAGACACGGTAAGAGAGACAGAGACACGTGGAGAGAGACACGGGGAGAGAGACACAGGGAGAGAGACACGGGGAGAGAGAGACAGAGACACGGTAAGAGAGAGACAGAGACACGTGGAGAGAGACACGGGGAGAGAGAGACAGAGACACGGTAAGAGAGAGACAGAGACACGTGGAGAGAGACACGGGGAGTGAGACACGTGGAGAGAGACACACAGGGAGTGAGACACGGGGAGAGAGAGACAGAGACACGTGGAGAGAGACAGAGACACGGGGAGTGAGACACGGAGAGAGAGACAGAGACACGGTAAGAGAGAGACAGACACGTGGAGAGAGACACGGTAAGAGAGAGACAGACACGTGGAGAGAGACACGGGGAGAGAGAGACAGAGACACGGTAAGAGAGAGACAGAGACACGTGGAGAGAGACACGGGGAGAGAGAGAGACAGAGACACGGTAAGAGAGAGACAGAGACACGTGGAGAGAGACACGGGGAGAGAGAGACAGAGACAAGGTAAGAGAGAGACAAGAGACACGTGGAGAGAGACACGGGTAGTGAGACGCGAGTTGCGACACGCGCGGGGTTGAGCGAGGCGGACGCGACAATGTGAGCGAGCGAGCGAAAGACGGAGCAGCAGGGGGTGGAAGGTCGACAAGAGAAGCGATTGGGCCCCGGAGAGAGACACGAGAGAGAGAGACACACGAGAGAGAGACACAAGAGAGAGACACACACGAGAGAGACACACAAGAGAGAGACACACACGAGAGAGACACACAAGAGAGAGACACACGAGAGAGTGACACACGAGAGAGAGACACGAGAGAGAGAGAGACACGAGAGAGAGAGAGACACGAGAGAGACACAAGAGAGAGACACACACGAGAGAGAGACACAAGAGAGAGACACACGAGAGAGTGACACACGAGAGAGAGACACGAGAGAGAGAGAGACACGAGAGAGAGAGACACGAGAGAGACACAAGAGAGAGACACACACGAGAGAGAGACACAAGAGAGAGACACACGAGAGAGTGACACACGAGAGAGAGACACGAGAAAGAGAGACACGAGAGAGAGAGACAAGATAGAGACAAGAGAGAGACACGAGAGAGTGACACACGAGAGAGAGAGACACGAGAGAGACACACGAGAGAGATACACACGAGAGACAAGAGAGAGACACACGAGAGAGACACGAGAGAGATAGAGAGAGATAGAGAGAGAGACACGAGAGAGAGACACGAGAGACAAGAGAGAGACACACGAGAGAGACACGAGAGAGACAGAGAGAGATAGAGAGAGAGGGACAAGAGAGAGAGACACACGAGAGACAGAGAGAGACACGAGAGACAAGAGAGAGAGACACGAGAGAGAGAGACACACGAGAGACAAGAGAGAGAGAGACACGAGAGAGAGAGAGAGAGACACGAGAGAGAGAGAGACAAGAGAGAGACACGAGAGAGAGAGACAAGAGAGAGACACGAGAGAGAGAGACACGAGAGACAAGAGAGAGACACGAGAGACAAGAGAGAGACACAAGAGAGACAAGAGAGAGACACACAAGAGAGAGGGACGTGTTGTTGTCACGGCCGCGATGTCGGCCCCGGCACACGGCGAGCAGCAGCTCGGCTCCACACGGGGGGGGGGCCTGGTGCTGCGCGCCTACCAGATGGAGGGGGTCGAGTGGCTGCGGCGCTGCCGCGAGGGGCGGCACGGGGCGATCCTGGCGGACGAGATGGGCCTGGGCAAGACGTGCCAGACCATCGCCTTCCTGCTGTCCCTCGTGCGTCGCGACCGCGTCGACCGGCCGTTCCTCATCCTCGCGCCGCTCTCCGTGACGCACAACTGGCAGGACGAGATGAAGAGGATGTGCCGGCGGTCAGACCTTCACGACGAGGAGGAGAGGGGTGGAGGAGGTGGTGGTAGCGACGACGACGAGGAGGATGAGGAGATCTCCGTAATCGTGTACTTGGGGGACATCGAGAAACGGGGCAAGCTGCAGGAGAAGATCAAATCGGGAGCGTTCCACATCCTGCTCACCACCTACGAGCTGTGCCTCAAGGACGCGGCCTTCCTCGGGAGGCTGCCGTGGTCCGTCCTGGTGGTGGACGAGGGCCACCGCCTCAAGTCGCAGAGCTCCCTGCTGCACCAGGCGCTGCTCGAGTTCGACATCGGGCAGCGCGTCCTCCTCACGGGCACGCCCGTCCAGAACAACCTGGCGGAGCTCTACTCCCTGCTCAGCTTCGTGGCGACGGGCACCTTCGCGCCCGAGGGCCTGCGGGCCTTCGTGCAGCGCTTCGCGGGCGTCAGCAGCGACCCCGAGCGCGCCTCGGAGCTGGGCGACCTCCTGGGCCCCTTCGTGCTGCGCCGCCTCAAGACGGAGGTGGCGGCCGAGCTGCCCGCGAAGACGGAGCTGGTGCTCTACCACGGCGTGTCGGCGATGCAGAAGCAGTACTACCGCGCCATCCTGTCGCGCGACCTCGACGCCCTGGAGGACCCCACGACGGGAGCGCGCGTCAGGCTCATGAACATCCTCATGCAGCTGCGCAAGTGCGTCGACCACCCCTACCTCTTCAACGGCGCCGAGCCCGAGCCCTTCGTGGAGGGCGAGCACCTGGTGAGCGCCAGCGGCAAGCTGCTGCTGCTCGACCGCATCCTGGCGCTGCTGCGCCGCGAGGGCCACCGCGCGCTCGTCTTCTCGCAGATGACGCGCATGCTCGACATCCTGCAGGACTTCCTCGAGTTTCGCGGCTACAGCTACGAGCGACTGGACGGCTCCGTGCGCGGCGAGGAGCGCCACCTGGCCATCAAGTCGTTCGGCCAGAAGGACATCTTCGTGTTCCTGCTGAGCACGCGCGCCGGCGGCGTCGGCCTGAACCTCACGGCCGCCGACACCGTCATCTTCGTGGACAGCGACTTCAACCCGCAGAACGACGCGCAGGCAGCCGCGCGGGCCCACCGCATCGGGCAGACGCGGCCGGTGAAGGTGATCCGGCTCATCGGGCGCAGCACCGTGGAGGAGGTCATATACCGGCGGGCCGAGGCCAAGCTGCGGCTCACGCACGCCGTGACGGCGCAGATGAGGGAGGACAGCGATTCCAACGACATGAAGGACGAGTCTCCGAAGCAGCTGTCGGAAATCCTGCTGGCCGGCCTCGGGACCCTGATGGAGTCGGACGAGGGCTCGTCCGTGGAGATGGACCTGCAGGCCATTCTGGGAGAGAGCCGCGACGGATGCTGGGTCATCGAGGAGCCGCCCGCGGAAGGCGCGGACGCTCCTCCGCGACGGGGCGCCGTCCGCCGGCAGACCGAAGACGACCGGCGCATTCTGGAGAGCGCGGATTACTTGAGGGCGCCCGCCAGCTCGTCCGACCTCGCCGCCCTGTCGCTGCTGCGTCAGGATATGAACAGCCGGGCGGGCGGGCCCGGGGGTTCGTCGCAGAGTTCGGCGGCGCTGGCCCTGCCCGTCCAGCGCAAGCGGTCGCCGCTCACGGAGCAAGAGCGAGCCAAGAGGAAGGAGCGGCGCCAGCAGCTGGACAGGGAGCGCGACCGCGCCCTGGCCGTGAAGAGAGCCCGCATGGACATCGAGCGTCAGCGTAAGAAGCTGGCGCTCTGGAAGGAGGCCGGCTACGAGTCGCTCAACGTGGCGCTGCGCGGGGAGGGAGCCGCATCGGATGACGCGAGCGAAAGCGACGAAGACGTCGAGGGTGGCGCTTCGGACGAGGAGGAGGACGAAGAGGGGGAGGGGGGGCAGATCCGCTACGTCCTGGGCGACGTGACGCTGCCCGACGCCCCCGCGGGGCGCAACGCCATCGTGGTGCACTGCGTGGACAACTCGGGCCGCTGGGGCCACGGGGGCCTCTTCTCCGCGCTCGACAAGAGGTCGACGCAGCCCAAGCACCGCTACGCGCGCGCCGGCAAGATGGGAGACCTGGCGCTCGGGGACGCGCACCTCATTCCCGTGGATGACCGCGTGAGCCGCGCCGGCGGCGTCGACACGCTGGCCCTCATCGTGGCCCAGAGCCGCGATCCGAACAACGTCCTGTCGGGGATCTCGCTGGCGGCCCTGGAGACGGGCCTGAGGCGCGTGCGGCGAGCGGCACGCAGGCTCCGCGCCAGCGTCCACTTGCCGAGGATCGGGCACGCGACGCCGGGCTTCAACTGGTACGCCACGGAGAGGCTCGTCCGCAAGCACCTGGTGTCGCGCGGCGTGCCCACGTACATTTACTACCACCCGAGGAGGACTCGCCAAGGGGCCGCCGCGTCCACCGCCCGGCCTTCCTCCACATCCAAACCCGCGGCCTCCGCCTCATCCGCGGCCTCCGCCTCATCCGCGGCCTCCGCCTCATCCGCGGCCTCCACCTCATCCGCGGCCTCCGCCCAAACGGCGACGCAATCCGCAGCCACCCACAAGCCGGGCCCCAGCGTGTCCGCCTGCGTCAAACCGGCTTCAGCTGCCGCCCTCTCTCCATCCTCTTCCTCCTCGTCGAGCCGTCCTCCTCCTCCGTCGTCGTCACCGTCTCTCGCGGCCGGCCCCGGCGACCCGAACGCGGCCGGTTCACTGTCGGGGCCGTCGGACTCCTGGTCGCTGGGGTTCCCGGACTTCATGGCGGGGGTGCGCGCCCACTTCCTCGGGCTCCCCGCGGCGGAGGCGGCGCGCCTCGCCCGCTACCTCGTCACGTTCGACGGCGACGTGAGCGCCGGCGTCGACGCCGACACCACGCACGTGGTGACGGCGGGCCGGGAACCCGGCCCCGGCGACGCCGAGACGCTGCGGGAGGCGGTGCGCCGGCGGCCCGACCTCACCGTGGTGACGGCCGCGTGGCTCCGGACCTGCTTCTCCGCTCGCAAGAAGCTGCCCTGCGCTCCGTTCGCCGTTGACGTTTAAACGCGGCCGCTGCCGCCGCCACTCGCACTGCGTAAGGGTGTTTCCGCGGTCACGCTGCGCAGCCCTCGCGATGGGTCTTCTGGTCGTGGGTTCTGAGGGGGTGGCGAGATGTTAACCACCTCGCCTGGTACACAGGAGGTCGTGGGTTCGATCCCGTCCCTGACGCCTGCTGCTGTATATTTGGAGTTTGCGTGTCTCTCTCTCTCTCTCCCCGTGGTCTCGTGGATTTTTCTCCGGGTCCTTTGGTTTTTCTCCCCACATTTAGAATCAACGTCACCACGCATTTAGAGTTTTCGGCTGCAATACATTTACACCTGATAAGCTAATTCGTGAAGCTATGATTTGTGATAGCCAGGTCGCTTCTGAAAAAGACCTACATTGCTCCGGGAGCCTTAGCTGGTAGAATAAAAAATAGTTCAGCATATTCTTGGTTCTTTCGGTAAAGTCACGTAGAAGGGAAACAATAAAAATAATAAAAATATAAAACAATTAAATTCTCACAACGTTTCGACTGCAACACAAGCAATCAAGAATATGAATCCGTGCAGTCACGAAAGCTTTAAATCAAAAATAGTTCAGCGTTATAGTTTTGTTCATAAAAGCTCCTGTCCCTTGGAGCGGAACAGCAGAGACCGTGCCGAGCGACGCGCGGTGTGACCTGAACACACGCGTGGTGCGACCTGAACACGTGGTGCGACCTGAACACGTGGTGTGACCTGAACACGTGGTGTGACCTGAACACGTGGTGTGACCTGAACACACGCGTGGTGCGACCTGAACACGTGGTGCGACCTGAACACACGCGTGGTGCGACCTGAACACGTGGTGTGACCTGAACACACGTGGTGCGACCTGAACACGTGGTGCGACCTGAACACACGTGGTGCGACCTGAACACGTGGTGCGACCTGAACACGTGGTGCGACCTGAACACACGCGTGGTGTGACCTGAACACACGCGCGGTGTGCGCCATGGATCGTTTTTGCTGTTAACCTCCTCCTCCACCCCCCCCCCCCATCGATGTGCTGGTCGGACTTCGCGTCGATAGCCGAAGATATTATTTTTTACATTCAGAAGGGGGCAGCCAGCGGTGCATCACCCTGTGTCGGGGAACGCCCCCGCCCCCCGCGGAAGACGACGTGATAGAACTACTTCTGAGCTCACTGCAGTCATGCCCCATGCAGAGGATCGAATGCCAAATATATTTAATTTGTTTTAATTCTCAGAGCAGGACTTACGCTAATATAAGCGACGAATTTAATTACAGGGACTCCTCTGTCACCATGGGACCTCCTTTGCCAGTACCAAAATATAAGAATAGGTGTTCCCCTTTCTTCTGGCAACAAAACAGCTGTTAAGATGTTAAAACACCAATCAGAAATCTTTTACAAGGAATCATGTCTGCTTAAACCACAATACTTGTGGTCAGAATGCAAACAGAAACATACTCTGATAATATGATGCATTGTCCTGGAAACTGTTTGGTCCACACCTTTTGGCGTCCTCTGGTTGAACGCCGTTTGACACGAGGCTCAAAAGAAAGCCGTCTCTGGTGTGGACCAATCAGTTTCAAGGACAATGCATATATTATCAGAGTGTTTTTTGTTTGCATTCTGACCACAAGTATTGTGGTTAAAGTAGACATGATTCCTTGTAAAAGGTTTCAGTTTGGTGTTTTAACATCTTAACACAGCTGTTTTGTTGCCAGAAAAAATGGGAAAACCTATTCTCAGGAACTCCTCAACTTACGAACGAGTTAGTTTCCAGAGGTACTGTTCGTAAGTCGATTTGTTCGTCAGTCCAACTTTACTCCTGTCGATTCCAAACACGTTGTATGGCGTGCACACTAACATGGGGAATGGATTTAATAGTTGTATAATCTCCTGTAGATGTAGATGCCACTGGTTCTTCACGTTCTGCAGACGTAGGTGCCACCACCGCCATCTATTGCGCGGTGGTTGAACTTACGACTCTCGTTCCGAACAGGCAACTGGACTTACGGACAGGTTTGTTCGTAACTCTGAAAGTTCGTAAGTCGAGTGTTAGTAAGTAGAGGGGTCCCTGTAAATGTGATTTGGATTTATTTCGTGCAGTTGTTGGTGATGGGGCTGAGACCGTTCCGACTAATTCCACCTTTAAAAAAAAGATCAGAATCTTGATTTGTCCTGGAAGAATTCGGTGAGTTATGAAGTTCTTGTTCCACGGATGATCCCAGTGGTGTGTAGTGCGCCGTGGCTGGGCGGCTGTCTTTTGCTATCCTCACTGTCTGTTACAGCGCGAGCCTCGTCCATGCATTGATGTTATCCATCCACGTCATCCTTGGGTCTTCCTCACGCACGTGAACCGGGTAATTGCGTCGTGCAAAGTCTGCTTTTCCAAACAAGTTCCATCTTTTCTCATGACATGACCACAGTAGGCCAAGCTTTCTTGATTGTATCACCTCTGACTGTTGTCTTTCATCACCTTCAGCTTTCTCCCAGAACCCATTCATTAGTTCTATTTCCAGTCCACAATACACACGGATCGTAATATCCGCCCGAGTCCTTTCATTGCAAAGGCGTTCATTACGTGCCTCTACATTGTCAAACTTTTACAACCACGTGGAGCAACTGGCCACACGAGGTCATGCAGAAGTCTGATCTGCGTTCCAATCGGGATGCTGTGACTCTTCCAAATTTTCTCCAGGGATGGCCCCTTAAAGAGCTTCACAGCTCATCGGATTCCTCCGGTGTAAACAAATATTCTGATATTGAGCCACTGCATGCGGCTCTGGAGCCGCGGGTTGCCCACACTCTGCATGAACGCGGCGGCGTCTTGTTCCGTGTGAGCGAGTTGAACTCCCTCGAGCTCCCAGCGAGCTTTGTGGTTGTGTTGATTCCAGTGACTCCCTCTCCCCCGTGCTGTGATTACCAATCATCGGGTGCGTCCGGCAAGTAAGCGACTTGCTTAGCTTATGAATGGAAGATGATATTTGTAATCACCTAAAGCTGCACTTAGATATACATAGAGACCCGTAGAGGTGCATAGAAAGCCATGTAGATTCATAAAGGCTCAGAGAGATACATAGATTGCGAGAGATACATAGAGACTCGTAGACATACATTAAAGACGAGCCACAGGAGTGAGATTGTGGCCATGCCACCCACATCTTGGCCCACGCAGTAAACGCCACTGTGGTCTGCGCTCCCTCAACGCAGGAGGAACAGTTGCACCACGCGAACTCGCTCCCTGCTGAAGCCCTCTCGTCCTAGCAGCAGCAGCAGCCAGCCCTCGACATTGGCACTGAGCTCGTGAACCTATCGCCCGCCACTCGCAACGGGTGAAATCATTTGGCTGTCGCCTGATGAAGCTAGTTGTAATTACTGGCGAAACGTCGTACTCGGATTGTGAATGTTGTGGCTTGGCTCTCCAACACACCGGTTAGTGCTGTACGAGTGACGAATTGGCCACGTTCTGTTTACGTGACAACCCTTACTAGCTGGCTGTGTCGGGTGGTGGCGGGTTTAATGACACAACATTTATATATTTACGCGATCTAACCCAACAAAAACCTCGATTGTGAGATCATTTCAGTTTACATTTGGCGTCATTCTGCTGACGATCGCCAGAATTGCTGTGCTTTTGTATTTCACACTCAGTAACACTCTTAACTATTAGTACTGTACTGTAGTAATGTATCTGTTTTTTTGTAATCTCATTGTCAAAGTTAATACACTACAGTACACGGACCGCAAAGTGGTAAATAAATACGAATAGAACATCTGTTTGAGTCGTACACATCTGCCACGTGACGATGCTACTCTTGACTCTTGCTTGGACCACTCTTAAAATTATCTGCTGCATGCGTTATGAAGAAGGGCCACTGCCCGAAACGTCGCCTACTATATTTATGAGTACATTTTTTGGTATCGACTGCTTTAATACCGCGACGACGAGGGCCACTGAAGGCGCGCGAGCGAACAGAGGAGGAGGGAGAGGCAGGAAGATGAATCCGTGACGCCGCGCGCGAGTGGCGCTGACGCAGGGGAAGGTCGCGGAATTCCAACGAAGGGAAAAAAATCGTCGCGTGATTTGTCGTTTTAGAGGCCCCCCCCGCCAGCGTGGCTTTGAAGATGTTGGGGGGGGGGGGGAAGGGCGGCGCATGGCGCAACCGCGGATTTGAAGACGTTCTGAGACCCCCCCCCCTCCTCCTCCTGCGTTTCAGGAGCCATCGCGGCTCGCTCTCTCTCTCTTATTTTGGAGGACAAAAGGATTCTGTGTCCCGTCTGTCCGTCGCAACTGTTTTTTAAGCGAAGAGGCGGAGGCATTGTGTGACTTCCAAGTTTCCAAACGGGTGAGGTTCTCCGTCACGGGAAAAAAGAACACTCGTGCGTTGAATGAAGGGGGTTTGCGTGCGTGCGTGTGTTTGCGTGTGTGTTTGCGTGTGTGTTTGTGTGTGTGTGTTTGCGTGTGTTAGTGTGTGTGTGTTTGCGTGCGTGCGTGTGTGTTTGTGTGTGTTTGCGCGTGCGTGTTTGTTTGCGCGTGCGTGTGTTTGCGTGTGTGTGTGCGTGTGTGTTTGTGTGTGCGCGTGTGTGTGTTTCCGCGTGTGTGTTGTGGTGGTGATGACGATGGCGAAGAAGAAGAGGGTTAATTTAATATACATTTGACATTGTAAGATTAAAAGCTCTGCAATGTTTACTCAGTCGAGATTCAATTCAGCCCCGCACGTGTGTTGGGGCGTCATCGTCATCCTCAGCCAGGGTCGATCCACTGCTGGATGAAGGCCGCCTCCCCAACCCCCCGCGGCAGCCGACGAACCCGCGCCGTAATAATCCACACGGAGCGATCCGCTTCCATCGCTCCGTCTCCGCGGAGTGGACGTGCTGCCCGGGCGCTCTGCCGTGTTCCCGAGTGGCGCTCGGGCAGAGTTAATTTGACACGTGGCGACTGTCATTGTCCGCCATCTGTGCTGGGAGGCATCCGGGGGTGGACGGGGGGGGGGGGTATTGTGGGGGTGGGGGCTGTCCCCCCCCCCCCCTCTGCTAATTGAGCGACAGAGCGAGCGAGAAGAGTGAGTGGCGCAGACAGACGGCAGGTTAATGGTTGTAAGGGACGAACTATAAATCAATCTCGCATCATCATTAGAATCAGCATCTGCAGCAGCAGCATCTGCAGCAGCATCAACAGTGGCAGCGTTATCAACAACATCATCATCATCACCGTGATGTGTAATTGTAGAGCATCAGTATCTACGCCCCGGCGTTGGCGTAGTTCGATATCGATTTATCATTAGCGTGATCATTGCCTGGTAATTGTCAGTACGCATCATCCTCCTCGTCATCGTCGTCATCCTCTTCGTCGTCGTCATCATCCTCGTCGTCGTCATCATCCTCGTCGTCATCATCCTCGTCGTCATCCTCGTCGTCGTCATCATCGTCGTCGCTCACACGAGATACCCACGTGGACTCGCGCAGGCTCACCACGCAAGAGCGCACATCACGTCGAGTCAAGAACCCTCGCCCGTAACGGGACGAATATCTATTCAAATAGACGACGTTTCGGGCAAATGGCCCTTCTGCCATGAAGAAGGGCCGGTAGCCAGAAACGTCGCCTGTATAATAATAATACTAAGTCGCACTCTTTGCGTTGTGCAGCTGAAGCGCCGCTGCTGGGGCACAGCGGCACCGCGGTGGGAGGACACGAGTCGACTCGTGGTGAGCACGAGTTGAGCCCCACGCGCCATAACCCCCACACGTTTACCCCCCTTTAACCCCCCCCCACACCCCACCCACTTGAACCCCCAGCTGATGATGAGTGAATGTCCTCTCCGCTAATTAATTAGGAGCGAGACTTTCACATTCTGACGTATTGACGGATGATGATGATGAAGCTGATGATGATTGTTGCTAGAAACGAGGCTTTCACATTCTGACGTATTGACGGATGATGATGAGGCTGATGATGATTGTTGTTAGAAACGAGACTTTCACATTCTGACGTATTGACGGATGATGATGAGGCTGATGATGATTGTTGTTGTTAGGAGCGAGACTTTCACATTCTGACGTATTGACGGATGAGGCTGATGATGATTGTTGTTAGAAACGAGACTTTCACATTCTGACGTATTGACGGATGATGATGATTGTTGTTGTTAGGAGCGAGACTTTCACATTCTGACGTATTGACGGATGATGATGATGATGAGGCTGATGATGATTGTTGTTGTTAGGAGCGAGACTTTCACATTGACGCGTATCGATGTTTATACCCCACTAGATGACATCACCACCACCACCAGTGTTGTGTTGTAAATAAAAACCGATGTCGACTTGGCGTGCGGGTGGAACGTGAAGACGAGACAACAATTGAGAGTCTTGTGTCAGTGCAACGATGCACGGGGGG